ATTCCAAACATAGTTCCCAGACTACTTTTGCATTATTTTTGGACAATTTTTTGGGCATTTTTATTTTTCGTCGAAAATCCCCCTGTAGGGGGACAGGCCCGACTTAGGGCTAGGTGGTGAAGCTCGGCCATCTCCCGCGAGAGACCGCGTCGACAATTCCTCGAGCGCCTCCCTGCAATTCCGCCGCCCAGCTCAGTCCAGCCGGGTCGTCATCTTGTCTGCCGCCACATGCAGACGATGATACGGAGGCCTGGCCCCTCGCGCATGGACTTCGACGCGCGGGTTCGGTTCCTTCAGTGGATCGCTGACGAAGGTGCTTGGCCTCGGAGAGCTTCGACACGGGCCTTGAGGAGGAGGAGGAGGAGGAGGAGGAGGGAGAGGAGCTGGAGGAGGAGGAGGCGAAGGAGGAGGAGGAGGAGGAGGAGGAGGAGGAGGAGGAGGAGGAGGAGGAGGAGGAGGAGGACGAGGAGGCGGAGGCGGAGGCGGAGGAGGAGGAGGAGGAAAATGAGGAGGACGAGGAGAAGAAGGAGGATGAACCTACTCCGCAGGGCGCCCCGCGTGGGCCCTCCGTACGAAGACCTGGGCGTGGACCCGCGGGAGCCCCACGTGCGCTCTGTGCCGGCCCTCCTCGAGCTCTGACCAGTAGCAGGAGGGGAAAAAAACACACAGACACACATCATCGTCGATCCCCCCGAAAATATGGGATGATATGGGAATTGGGCGGGAGGACAAAAACCCAGAACATGTAGGAAAACATGGGGCATCTTTTTATTTGTGTGTATTTATTTGTGTGTCCCAGGGCCCCTTCACAGTAGCCGGCCAGCGAGAGCGGCCGGCAGCATGGCGAGGGCCATCCGGCACCCGCCGCTGCTGATCTGGCCGTCATGGACGCCATCGACGACTCGAGGTCGCCCCCCCCGCCTCCGCGCGTCGGCGAGAGCATGTCCGACCGCGAGGTCGGCCGCATCTTTGAACCCCGCGGGCTCCCCTTTGGCGCTGCGTCCTCACGGCCTGCGGGCAGCTGTGCTGATCTTGCGCCTCCCGGTGGCGATGCTGAGGTACTGGACTGGCTCACGGCGCCTCCTGCTGCGGCTCCTGGTGCTCCACGTCCTGCCACAGACGGTCACCCGCGCAGTGCTCCTCAGCCCGCTGCGCAGGCCGCCCCCCAAGGCGCTGTCGATGCTCTTGCCTGTGGCGCGGGAGCCCGCGCGCCTCCCCGTCTCGCTGCTGGTGGTCCTGCCGGCCCTGGTGAGAAGGCGGGCCTGGGCTTCTTCGAGCTCGCTGCCGTGGGGGGCATGGCCGAGGAGCAGCACCGCAACGGGTGCGACATCGGCTCGCCTGCCGCTGTCTTCCCCGACTTCTGCCCGATGGGCGGCGGATCACCTCCTGGAGCCGCTCGTCATCGAGGAGCTCTTCTCGGGCTGCGCCCTTGTGTCCGAGCTCTCCGTTGGCGCGGTGACGACTTCTACTGCGACGACTTCGTCGACTCTGCTTTCGTCGACCTGGGCAACTACGAAAGCCTGAGTGGCTCGGCGCCCCCGCGCCTGCAGCGTCCGTGGGCGAGATCGAACCGCCTCCAGGGACGCTCGCTCTTACTCTTTCTCCTCCTCCTCCTCCTCCTCCTCCCCTCCCCTTTTCCTCAAAACCTCAGCGCCATCGCCGCCGAAGGACATGTGTTTTTGAGCTTCCTGTGTAGTGACGATTCTTTTGTTTCGACCGTAGGCACTCTTGCACTGTTAGACAAGCAGTTCACTCACCCTTCCCGTAACAGTCCCCAACGAGGTGCGCTGGGTCCTCGTGAGGTCCAGTGCGCCGCCCGCCTCCGTCATTCCTCATACACTGCCAGTGCAACGCAGAGTCCTCCTATGGTGGGAAAAACAGAATCCTCCTCTCCCTTTTTCTCCCCCCAACCTCTTCCCCATCTTCCTCTCCTCATCGCCTGTCCTCTCCTCCCCTCTTCCCCCTCCCTCTTGTTTCATCCACCCCCCACCGCCTACTCTACCTTACCCTCCCGTCCTTTCCGTCCACTTCGTTCATCTCCAGTGTGCCCCCGTCTTATATATTAGTTGCAAGGTTGTAGATTGTCCTCTTTGCTGCCGTTCGGCTTCGTTTCCATCTCCCCTTTTGCTCCCCCTCCTCTCCTCTTCCCTTCGTCCGTTTCCAGCTTCTCCTCCACTCTTCCCTCCCCCCTTTCCAACCCCCTCCTCTTTGCTTCCCCCCCCCGCCTTCTTCATCTCCTCGTCGCCACCGTCCTCCTGCTGCTCCTCCTCCCCCTTCTCATTCCTTTCCTCCCCTGCTTCTTGCTCTCTACTGTCGTCTCCTCTCGTCTGGTATCCCCCTTCCCTGTCCCTGCCATTCCCTGCCCTTCCCTGTCCTCCTCTTCTCACCTTGCCTCTCCTCTCCTACCCCCTCCCTGCAAAAGAGGAGAAAAGGGCTTGGGGGGAGGGGAGGAGTGAGGGGGGGAGTGGGGATCAGGAAGCATACAGAGGTGGAGGAGGAGGAGGAGGAGGAGGAGGCGGATCAGGATGACGAGGACAATCGCGACGACGATGATGATGATGGCGACGATGGTGATGATCTTGCACATCATGGCGATGCTGGTGATGATGAGGGTGATGGTACTTTTGACGACAAAGGTGATGCTGCTGATGATGGCGGTGATGATTATCATGCTGCGGACGACGACGGCGATGACGATGATGGCGATGATGATGACGATGATGAGGAGGATGACTATGACGATGGCGCTGGATATGACGAAGACGACGACTATGATGAAGACGACGAAGACGATGAAGACGAATACGATGCCGAAACATATGATGGTGTAACTGATGATGATGACGCTGCAGATGATGATGATGATGATGGTACGGATTGGGACGGCGATGACGACGACGATGACAATGCTGTTGACAATTCCGTTGACGATGGTGCTGATTACCTTGATGATGATGATGGTGATGCTGACGACGATGCTGATGAGGATGATGTTGAGGATGAGGATGAGGATGCCGATGAGGTTGATGCTGATTGCCGTGATGATGGTGATTTGGACGACGATGACGATGCCGATGATGATGCTGCTGATGATGATGATGCGGATGATGCTGATGTTTACTGCAATGATGAGCATGCTGATGATCGCTGTCATGATGGTCATGCTGATGATGGTGGTGGTGGTGGTGAAGATGATGATGCTGATGATGATGATGATGATGATGATGATGGTGGGGGTGGTGATGATGATGCTGATGATTGCTGATGGTGATGATGGTGGTGGTGGTTGTGGTGGTGGTGAGGAGGAATAGGAGGAGGGCTACGACGGCAATGATGATGATGCTGAGGATGATGATGGATGATGATGATGAGGATGATGTTGATAATGATGAAGATGATGATGGTGATGATGAGTATGATGGTGATGATGATGATGATGATGATGATGCTGATGATGATGATGATGATGATGATCATGACGATGATGATACTGATGATGATGATGACAATGATGGTGATGCTTATGATGATGATGATGATGATGATTATGATGATGATGATTATGATGATGATGATGATGATGATTATGCGGATGATGATGATGATGATGATGATGCTGGTGATGATGATGACGATGATTGTGATGATGCTGCTGCTGATGATGATGAGCTTGATGATGATGACGATGATGATGATGATGATGATGATGATGATGCTGATGATGATGATGATGATGATAGTTATGATGCTGATGATGATGCTGATGATGATGATGATGATGGTGATGGGTGGTGGGTGATGGTGATGTGATGTTGTGGTGGATGAGTGGTGGATGGTGGGATGATGCTTATGACGATATGATGATATGATGATGATGATGATGATGATGATGATGATTGATGATGATGATGATGATGATGATGATGAGAGGAGGAGGAGGAGGAGGAGGAGGAGGAGGAGGAGGAGGATGAGGAGGGGGAGGAGGAGGAGGAGGAGGAGGAGGAGGAGGAGGAGGAGGAGGATGATGATGATGACCATGATGACCATGATGGTGACAATGACGGATCAAACTCAGGGGCCATCAACGATGCTGCAAAACACCCCAGTCCTAAGTCTATAACGCTGGAAAGTCTCAACGAGCAATTGCCCATGACTAGATTTGATGATTCAAGCGAGAGTCCCATATTGGAATTGACCGGCTCTCCATCCTTATAGGTGATCGGAGTTTTGAAGGCTAATGTGCGCGGCGCTGAGGCGATGACGTCATTCTGAACAGGAACAGCCTCCATCCTTGGAGCTGTTGGAGCATGTCAAGACGAACGTGCGCGTCACCTAGGAGAGCCACATTTTGGAAATGGCTCGCCCTCCATCCTTGTAGCTGAGGGAAGCGCTTTAGACGAATGGGTATGGCGCTGGGGCTGTAGCTGGATTGACAAATAATGATCCGCCTTCCGTCCTTGCAGCTGGCCGTCGGAAAGTACAAGCGGTGAGGAAACATCAGGCGAAACGGTGAGGAAACATCATGAAGCAGTGAAGAAATAACAAGAGAAACGGTGGAAAGCATCAGGCAACATCAGGCTGAATTCCGCCGCAGGGCTATGAGCGGTGAGGAAACCATCCGCCGAAACGCGGCGAGGCGGGGCTTCTTATGATGATGAGTGGAGCAGAAGGAGGGGGAGGAGGAGGAGGAGAGGGGGAGGAGGAGAGGAGGAGGAGGGAGGAGGAGGAGGAGGAGGAGGATGGGGGAGGAGGATAGGGGGAGGAGGAGGAGGAGGAGGAGGAGGAGGAGGAGGAGGAGGAGGAGGAGGAGAGGAGGAGGAGGAGGAGGAGGAGAGGAGGAGGAGGAGGAGGAGGAGGAGCGGAATGAGGAGGAGGAGTAGTAGGAGTAGGAGTAGGAGGAGTAGGAGGTAGGAGTAGGAGGAGGAGGAGGAGGAGGAGGAGGAGGAGGAGGAGGAGGAGGAGGAGGAGGAGGAGGGCGGAGTTGTGCCGGCGCCCACCAGGCCGCCGCCTGGCCTGGCGGTGCCCGGCGGCATGAGCATGCCCGGCGGCATGAGCATGCCCGGCGGCATGAGCATGCCCGGCGGCATGAGCATGCCCGGCGGCATGAGCATGCCCGGAGGCCTGCCGGGCCTGCCGATGCCGGGCATGCCAGGCATGCCCGGCGTGGGGCTCCCTGGCGGCCTGCCCTTGGGCGGGGCGGCGGCGGCAGGACCTTTGGAGCCGAGTCGCTTCCGTCGAAGCAGAGCCAAATGGCGTAACTATAAACTTTTGGCGCGCCGCGCGGATTTCTTGGATCCGCGCTTGGGCCCACCCCCCCAGCGGCGCCTGCGGCGCCGCCCCTGGCGCGCTCCGCGCGCCAGGGAGTGGGGTCCAGCGCAGATCCAAGAAATTCGCGCGGAGCGCCACAAGTTTATGTTTAATCCGTTTTTTCTGCATCCATTCCATGCCGCCTCTACCCAGAGGAGTGCGCGTTGAGACAAGGGTTGCTGGCCTTCGGGGGGCTCGGAAAACTGGTGTGTGGACCCCAAGAGGAGTCCAGGGACCGATTTTGCGGTGCCGCTGTCTCAACTTTCCCTGCTCCGACCTGCCTCTTAGGATTTCGGAGGATTCCGCAGGGTTCCTCAGGATCTTTGACGGTTCCTTTCTGGATTCTGCATTGCAGGATTCCTGAGGATTCTTTCGGAATCCTCGTTTTTTCTTCAGAATCCCCTCGGGTGTTTCAAGATTTCTCCGGATTCCTCAGGACCCCCCAGGGTTCCTCAGGATTCCTCAGGGTCCGTTCGGATTTCTCACGATTCTTCACACGATTCTTTCGGGTGGTTCAGAACTCCCTGGGACCCCTCAGGTCTCCGCAGGGACCCTCAGGATTCCTTGGGGCTCCCCAGAGTTGCTCCGGATTCTTTAGGTTTATTCATTGTTTCTCAGGGCCCCACGGTGTTCCTCAGGATTTCTCAGGGTTTGATCAGGGCGTGGATTTCTGCACGATTCCCGAGCACATTGTAGTGTGCGACAGGAAAACCATGATCATGCTGTAGCGCATCTGTAGGTATACATCAGGAATGGAGGAAAACGACAGGTCACCAATAGGAATACTTCATGTGCGCTGTATGAATGCTGTACGAATGTCACGGAACATCTACAGGTGTTACCATATACATGCTACAACAACGGAGCTCGCATGTTTTCCTTCGTGCTGTCTTGCCCTGCAGCGCTTGCGTTAGGATTATGTAGCCACGCAAGGAAGCGGATACTTCCCACACGTCACCTTGCGATCGAATTTCTCCGGCACTCCTAGGGCATGCTACGGTCGGACCGAGATATAAGATCGATGTCGGTTCGGGGAGGGTGCCCAAATGCCCTGGAGTCCTTCGTGTTTGTTGGGTGTTCTTGTGCATCCTGGGGGAGGGCGCCCTCGAATGCTGTCCAGTTTGGGCCAGCGGAGGGTCGAATGTTCTTGAAGGATGTTCTTTTTTTCCTAGGTCCGAGTGCAGTAGCATTCCTAGGGTATTCCGAGCCCTTCTGCCTTCTGGAAACGCCCATGCGGCCAAACGTTGGATCGAAGTCTGACCTAACTGTTGCACTATGTGTTTCCCCTGCCGTTGTGAAGCCCCTTGGGGGAAACCTGGGGAGAGGAAGAGGAAAGAGGAGCCGAGGACAAGCAGGAGGACGAGGAGGAGGAGGAGGAGGACCATTGGAAACCCAAGACTCATCAACGATGTTGGAATACACCCTCTCTCCAAGCTCCGTCTTCATAGGCCCCTAAAGGGGTTCATTTCCATTAGGGGTATTGTCCCGTTGGGGGACAACCGTGTTCAAAATCCGGAAGCGTGCCAAATCACCATTCTCAGGATTTCAACCCCACGATCCAGATTGATTGTGAGGTCTTGGCGATCCCGAGTCGTGCCAGAACACCTTTCCTGGGACTTCAACACCGCGCTTCGACGTCACTAGTGCGCCCTGACGGTAAGGAACTGGTCCAGAACACCACTAGTACGTTGACCATGAGAACCGGTGAGACTCTTTCAAACTTTAGAACAGTGTCGCGCGACGCTAAGGCGAGAGCCACATGTTGAAAAGGAACCGCTCTCGATCCGTGAAGCCTGTGCAAACTTTGACGACCAATGTGTGTGGTGCTACGGCGAGAGCCACTTTTTGAAATCAGCCCGCCCTCAATCCGTGAAGCTCCTGCACAATGTTAGACCAATACGCATGGTGCTCAGGCGAGAGCTACATTTTGAAAACCACACGCCCTCATTCTGCGAAACTCCTGCGAACTGTTACAACGAATGTGCGCGGCGCCAAGGCGAGATCCACATATTGAAAATCACCAAATCTCAATCCGTGAAACTCTTGCACGCGTTTAAGACGAATGCGCGCCGCGGCGCTGAGGCGAGATCCACATTTTGAAGATGACCCGCCCTCAATCCGTGGAGCTCTTGTTAAGTTTAAAAGCGAATGTGCGCGGCGCTTAGGTGAGAGCCACATTTTGAAAACCACCCGCCCTCCACCTGTGAAGCTCTTGTCACTTAAGCTTCAGGGTCATAATTCGTGAGGAAATCACAGGCGAAACGCCCAGCCCGCCCTTTCGACCAGCCTCGGGGTGCGACAGGGAGGAGCTATTCATAGGGAAAAGGAAGGGAGGAGGGGGCGGAGGAGGAGGAGGAGGAGTAGGAGGAGGAGGCGGAGGAGGAGGAGGAGGAGGAGGAGGAAAAGGAGGATGATGATGATGATGATGATGATGATGAGGAGGAGGAGGAGGAGGAGGAGGAGGAGGAGGAGGAGGAGGAGGAGGAAGAAGCGGAGGCCTCTTGAGCCTCTCTTGAGGCCTCCGGTGGACTTCCTGGGAGCCTCTTCGGGACCTCTGAGGGGCTTCTGGGGGGTCGGCTTGGGGGCCTCTTGGACCGTTCGGGGGACCTCTTTGGCCGTCTTGCGGGACTCTGGGGTGCCTCTTGGTCCGTCTTGGGGCGATTTTGGGGCTTTGGGGTCACATTGGAGAGTCGGAAGCCCGAAAAGGCGAGACGCTAATATCATTGAAAAACCGTCGGGCAATCAATTATCTTGGTCTCCTGGAGGTCCTCTCGGAGCCTTCTTGGGGCGTCTTGGGGGCCTCGAGGGTTGTCTGGAGGACGTCTTGGGTTGTCTTGGGACCATCTTGGCCGTCTTGGAGGCGTCTTGGCGCCGTCGTGGAGGCCATTTCGGGGCCATCTTGGGCGCTCTCGGGGCCATCTTGGCCGTCCTGGAGGCCATCTTGGCCGTCTTGGAGGTCACCCTGGGCCGTCTTGAACTGGAGAACCGATGGAGCGGACATTTTCGCAGATTCCCGAGGGCTTTCCGGATGGCTGGCGGGTTGGGCCGGAGGCCTGTGGGAACCCATCTGGAAGTGCCAAAACAGCCCAACGTTCAGTGCATGGCGTGCCAGCACCCGGTTCAGCATGCCCCTCGCATGTTTCGTGGCCCCATAGGGGGCTCCACCGAGGGGCCCAGCGGTAGAGTCCGCATGGCGTACCCGCACCAGGTTCGGCACACCCTCTGCACGTCTCGTGGCCCCATGGGGAGCTCCACCGAAAGCCCCCGCGGTCGGGTCCGCATGGCGTTCCGGCACCCGATTCGGCATACAGTGAGCGGCTTGAACAAGGAACACTTACTTTCCAAAAGGGGCTCGGTCGTGCCTTAGGTTTTACATGCGTTATATACAGTTCCTTATGCGTTATCTATTATTTATCGTTCCTTATGCGTCATTCCTTGGGATAAAAAGGGGCTTCGTTCCTTATTTATCGTTCCTTAGGTCAACGCCCCGACTGTATCCTTTACACGTATCGTGGCCCCGTACGGGGCTCCATCGAAGGCCCCAGCGGCAGGGTCCGCATGGCGTACCCGCACCCGATTCGGCACTCCCCTCAGACGTTTCGTCACCTCATATTCGCCCCAGCTGCTTCGCGATACTGGCATGCATATGGATGGGCCCTTTGTCAGGATATCTTGCTACCCTCACAGTTGTTTGTTGTACCTTCAAGTCTCGTGGACCCAAGACGTCGTCCTATTGTTTGTAAGTGTAAGAGCTGTTCACTTCTTTTTGAAGCGAGGTGTAAGCGTAAGTGCGTAAGCGTAAGCGTAAGTGCATTGTGTATGACCGTCTTAATTGCATGTTTTCTCGAGGATGCCGTCTTATCCTTCGAATGATTTCCTTTTGCATGGTTCGCTTTTGTCATGGTTTCTTCAGTAAGGGTTGCCCTTTTGGTAAGTATTGTTCTAACACTCTTTTAGTACGGTGGCCTGTAGTGATGACCCTTTTCCGTCAGGAGGGGCTCTTTTAGCAAGGATTGGAGGGTCCTTCAGTAAGGACTCCTTTTATATTTGATTGTTTAGTCACGACTTGTTTGAAGATTGTGTTTTTGAAGATTCTTACACGGGTTCTGAGGCGGGATGTCTTTAGCACGGTTCTTTTGCAAAGAATCGCGCGAGCAATTGTTATGTGGGTACTGCTTGTTTTAAGATTGGTCCTTGTAGTAAGGAGACGTTTAGCAAGGTTTCTCTCTTTGACGGACTCACTTTAGTAATCGACCCACTTGTAAAACAGTGCGTATTAAGAGTTCGGAAGGAACCCTCACCAAGGAATTGTCATGACCCATTCCTTGCTGAGTTTTTTTCCTGGACTGTTTTGCTAAGGCGCCCTTAGTCATGATCCTTGTAGTAAGGAGTTAGTTGTAAGGTTTCCTTATGCAAGGAGCACGAGACATGAGGAGGAATGATGAACGTGGATGAGGAGTCGTTTCGGGCAGGTCAAGCGAGGATGGAACAATCACGCTTTCTCTCTATCTCTCTCTCTCTCCCTCCCTCCCTCCCTCTCTTTTTAGAAAGCAACACAAAGAGGGATTGCAGGATGACGTGCAACCAATGAGAGGGAAGAGAGCGAATGCAACCATAAAGAAGCGTGCAATCTCATTCGGCCCTTTGGGAGCTCAACGGGCCCCAACCATACCGTCCTCTACCAGAGGTCGTCTGTAGTAACAGTAGTAGTAGTAGTTGTAGTTGTAGTAGTAGTAGTAGTAGTAGTAGTAGTAGTAGTAGTAGTAGTAGTAGTAGTAGTAGTAGAAGTAGTAGTAGTAGTAGTAGTAGTAGTAGTAGTAGCAGTAGTGGTAGTAGTGGTAGTAGTAGTAGTAGGACTCGTAGTAGTAGTAGTAGTAGTAGTAGTAGTAGTAGTAGTAGTAG